TGACAAAGTAAAAAATTCGATAGTGAGTTGACTCCTCAGGTAGCAAAAAGAGAAGTTAATAGATTTCATTAATTAACTCGTTCACTGATCCGAGTGATTGCAGTACTGTCCCAAGATAAAAGTTATAATTCCGATCTATCGGGATTTATTTTATGTACTGTTTTCAGATGTGAAATGTGACAAGACTGTCTCCCACTTGGTTTATATAGAATAAAACAAAAAAAAAGTTCTCCTTGATTCGTTAATCTGGATAAGTAAAAACATATGTTATAAAATGTCTAGACTATGAAAGGCCTATACTAATATTGTGTGATAAATGTATTCTTATCAATATATATTGTTGATATTTTTTATTAAGTTTTTTAACTGTTTTCAGCGAATTTAAAGAGAAGTAGTAAAGTTTTTGTTTTGTTTCAATTCTGAATAATTACACGTATAACATTAAGTATTAAGTACCGTGAAAGCGTTTATCAGTAATTAAATTAATCTTGATCGTGATGTCTGTGAAACATCTGATACGAAAGTGCTACAGACTTAATTATTCTTTGAATTGTAGCCAAATATTCATATCCTTATTTACTATTTTTAATGGAAATATATGTGCGAAATATTCTTAAATTTTTCATACCTCGGATCTATTTTTATAAACTAGGTGTATTTCTCTATATATATATAGAATATTCTCTATATGTATTTCTCTATATATATAGTATTTCTCTATATATATGGAATATTCCTATGTTTAATAAAGAACATTTCAGTTATTTAAGTATTGGTTTGAAACATAATATAACACAATATGTTTTTTTTTAAATTGGTTATAAGAAGTTATTCATTATGTTTATGTATGTATGAAGAAGTTATTAAATGTTTTTTATGTAAGTTCAAGAATATTTTTTAAATGTACCTATTCGTCAGATTTATTGAAATATTTCAAATCTATCCCGGTAATAGAAAACCATTTTCAAATGATTTTGGTAACATTTTTTTATTGCATTATAGTTCATAAACCTCCTTAGATTTTAAATCCTTTTTTGGTCTCTATGTGTATATATGTGTTTGTGCAGTTTTTGCGATGCCCAACAAATACCATCACTGTTGTAAATCTAAACTGTAAATTAATATTTTAATTAATTTTAGAAAGAATAACACTTTTTAAAATTACACTAAGGATAAGTTTCTTAAAAATTTCGAACACCTTAACCACGTAACAAAGTCATTTCAAATACCCTTATGTCATCGATCTGTAACAATTCAAGCGTTACGTGATTTTCGCAATTTTTCCGAAAACTTCTGTCACGCATAAAAGGGGAATTATAAACACAACTTTTATACCGTACCACACTTTATAAACAGTTTTAACCTAGATAAAAGAAATTATATGATAGCTTTTGACGAATCAAATTACATGATACCATACAGCTAACTCTTCTCAATTGTTTATTTAATGTTAATTCAAATACATTATAATTAATAAACTCTAACTAATATCTTTTTATACCTGACATTCATCACGGAATGTCAAATATTTGCTCCAAAAAATATGTCTTTAACACAGCACAATCTTCATTAATCGTAATTGCAATAAGTTTTTTTAAATTTTGAAATACTTACTATTTATTATTATCAGAACTAAAGGTTTGAAACATTTTTCTTTAGTTTATATCAATCTAAAACAATATGAATACTTTTTTTGTTAGTTATAGGTAAATTTTTCAACTGAAGACCGTCCATTGCAGATGGATTGATAGACGGAAAAGCTTTTAAGTTAGATACAAATGTAAAATACACACAACTTTTTGTATAAAAAAAAATGTGTACATAAATGAAACTAATATTTTCGGATTTACTACGCGATTTTTTATTTTTAACTATAAACTACATACTCCCGACGTTTCAGCTACTTTACAGCAACCGTGATCACAGGCAGACGAGATGTGAGTGTCTGTCTGTTTTATCACCTACCGCTATCAATTTCTTTATCTTCTGGCGTACCGCTCTGGATGCAGGCAGAATGCGCTCACGGTGTCTCGAGGTCCTGCGGTGTGGTCACGGACATGGGATTTTATATTTTTATGAAGAGGATTCCACGTGTTTGATAGGTTCCAGCCATCTTCTCTATTGAAATTTGAGTGTTTTTAATTTTAATAGCCTCGCGGATTTACCTTGGTATATATCTGTCTTCACGAGCGAGGATATGTGGTTCATCAAATTTAATTTAATGGCCTGATTTGTCCAATGCATATTCACACATTACTGACTTCGACGAGCGCCTATTTTTGACGTCTGAAATGTGTTCCTTAACCCTTGTACCGATGCTTATCTTTGTATGTCCGATGTATGATAGGCCACAATCACAATCAAGTTTGTATACGCCTGCTTGTTGTAAAGGAATGTTACTCTTGATTGGTCTCAAGAATTGGCTCACTTTCTAACGTGGTTGTACAGAAAAACTTTATTTCTTATTTATTGCTGATATTCCAATTTTATATTCTGTGCTACCGTTGAAAAACAATAAATGCATTTAGTTTCGAGCTTCTTCTCAAAAGTTGTTCACAAAATCTAAGACAAATATACAAAAGTAAATGAATGTCGTATAGTTATTTTAGTAAGCTTTTTTGAGAAATTTTTGTTGCATGTTAATTTTGTGTTATATTTCAAAAAGTACTTTATTGTTATAACATAGTATTTCGTACTTGTAAACCAAAGTAACTTTTTCTAATTACCTGCCTAAAAAACTCTCCCTTCTATAAAAGACTTTAATTTAAACCATTCATTATTTATGTACATTAATGAAATATATTCAAAAGGAATATATTTATAAATAGACAAAATAATCAGTGTATTAAGCTTCAGGGTTAATTTTAGTCAATTAATTTCAACTTTATATAAATTATATAATTTGTTAAGAAATTAACTTAATGATCTATGTATGTATAATGATAAATTATTATGAAAATAAGTCAAGAACAAAAAAAGAACAATCTAGTCATAATTTTGTCTTTTTCTTAACATATCAAAAGTGTGAGAAGACGGAAACCATTTTATTATAATTGGTATATTTCCTACCTTCTAGTAATTCATCAATTAACACCAAATTGCAAAGGGATATTGCAAAGGGATAAGATATATGGGCTCTTTCTTCGAGCCATCTCCTCCGTTGGGACTTGGATTGTTAATCGGGCCATTTGTCTGTATTCACTGCAAACGAACAATTTCGCACGAGATTGGAGCGACTTCTTGGATGGTTGGGGTTTAAAATCAACTAATGCTAAAACAAACACCTGTTCGCTTTGATTTAAGTTAGCTAGGTAACGAACAATGAATCAAAATTTAAAAAGTCAAGTTACTTAGTAGGCATATCAATACAAAAGTTGTAATACCTATATATGAAATTAACGTATAATATATCTAAACAAAATTATCATCATCATATTAGTGGTGTTTAAAATTTTATGATTTATGATAAAATTCTTTATATTGAATTTATTTATATAATTATATATATATGACAGAACATGCACAATACCTTATTTTAAGAAAACTAGTTGATATTTTAGTTTCATTTCTTTCATGTTTATATTTAAATGTTTTCGTTTATTTGAGTGATTATATTTAGCTTATAAAAATTATGAATTTCAAGAGAAGATATCTAATTATTTGACAATACATTAACAATATGTCGTTTGAACTATCTTATTTTATGAAAATTATTTGTTCGTCTGATTAAAATTATTTTAAGTTTATATTTAAGTGTATTCCTTATTTCTCTTAAATTGTTTATTGGTTTTAGTTGATAAATATTATGAATGTAATTTAAGAAGAAACTTAATTTATTATAAAGAGCCGACGCTAACGTCAGTTAGATTGTCGAGTGGGATTGCGAGTGGCGCCAACATCGTAGTAGTGAGCAAGTACATAAATTGCAGCAGTCACATTGCAAGGGCAGCGCTCACTTGAACGCAGTGTTGGACGCACCCTCGGAAATCCACGTGGCTCGATTTCATGGTAGCTATCCTATAATAATGAATAACTTTCGTGGTGCTAATAAAATAGCAACAAGTAAAGTGATTTCAAAGTGTTTGTGAAGTGTTAGTGGTTAGATAGCAAATATGAGGGAATTACAAGACCCTAATGGACTCGGCAATTAAATTTCTCTTCTTGTTGTTACGAGTTTCCGTTAAATTTTAGTTACACGAACTTGGTCTTCTTTGTGTGTCTTTCATATAATATGTACTTTATTACTAAATGATACGAAATAAAGACTACCAGGCACTGTTTCTGAATCCGAAACAGGAAAATGGAACATCATAATCAGAAACAGAAACATGAAAAGTATTATTACCTTTTATTTTTTTATTTTTCTCTGGTATAGTTGTCTACTGTTATCAATTAATACTTTCGGCGCAATTTATAAATAGTGCTTATTGTTATTTATATTTTCTCAAATTATGTCGATTAATCAATGCTATAATAATTTTGTATAATGTAAGGATTAAGCTACTAGAATCTTATTTTACTTGGCTAGGTTATCTGCTGCTTATCAACTTCCGGTGTAATATATTAATCTTAAATATTTAATGTTACATAATCCTGTATTATTAAATAATATTTGTCCGTAAATAATCATTAGAATAATTAAGATAAACAATGTTTAATATTATCGTTTAAGTTTGCAAATTTAGTATTAAATTAGGTCAAGATGTTTTTGTATAAATACCGCCAGTTTAAATATATCGGGCCTTGGTATTGTAACCGTCGGAACGAGCATTACAAGTGTTTTCCTATATAACGTATAGTTATACTACATATTGTTAAATCGTAGTTTAAAATATTCACTGGTATTTTTTAATTAATTATATATGGATTAATATAAAGGTCTTGTTAAGATATTTACACAGACATTAGTGCGTGGTGGGATGCTCGATATATCTAACAAGCAATCAAACGCCTTTTCAAGATGTTATTTATTTAACATTGATTGGTGAAATCTGGTCAGAATGATGGTTTTGGGTTGTGTCATACTGACTTTGATATTATTTCTTAGAAATTGACAGCTGGTTATAAATTACGAATTTCCTAAATTCTCTCGATTGACAAAGATAGTGACATTTGGTTGTCTTAATTTGTTATTTAATAAGTGAGTTTGTATCTTGTATAAAAATAAACTATAAAGGGTATCTACATAAATAGTAATAAGTTTATTAATATGTGGTGGGTAATTATGAATGAGAAAGATTGGATTTATGTATCTGAAATTATCCTTGTTATTTTTGCTACTGGATAGCTTTAAACAAGAGATGGGAACCTTTTTAAATACTATATTGTTATTTTATTTGATATAATAACAGTGTTATATGAACTATTGTCTAAAAGTAAAGTGATGAGAATTTTATACTCTTTTCTGGATTTTATTATTTCTATTGCTTCTTTCTTCCATTTTACTACAAATTCCACTTCTGTCTTCCATTTTATTTGACTTTTAATTTAAATCAGCAGGTCTAGGATCAGGACCGAACGTGTGGGCGGAGTCTCTGGACGCAGTGAATTTGTCAGCAGTGTCAGGTGGCGACACCACACTGTCTTGCAACTCTCACTCTCCACAACCGCCTGATGCACTGCTACTCGTCGTGTGGTATAAAAACAACATGCCAATTTACAGGTCAGTTATTAAGCAATTGGATTTTTTTCTTGTACAAAGTATAATGAATCTATAATGTCCGCTAAACTAAAATATAAGTTAAAGAGAAAAGTAATTAAACATGAATATTTTAAAATGTTGCATTTAGTTTTGAATGGCAGTCATTAGAGTGAAATAAAATGATAAATTGTGGTAATACCTGCAACGGACATTGCGCAAGTTTTGTTTGTAACGATCAGTGCTATTACGAGTATATAACTTACCTTAAAGTAGGCCTTTCATTGGTTACGATATTGCCTCTCCGTAAAGTTGTCATCCAAACTCAACTTATCTTATTAAATTTTATTTAATCGATTGAAGACTTAAAATATAATATGTACTACAAACATACATTTCAAGTTAAATGAAGTCTTGCACATTTTTGTTCACATTTTGTGTATTGTCTGTAAGAAATATTAAATTCTTAAAACGTTACATCGAATGAGATAAGCAATAACCTAAAATTCAAAAAGAAAATAATACATTAGAATGGGATTATCAGCTGACTCGATTTTATTTTCTGATGTGTAAACTTCCTTATTATAACGTAATTTACTTTTATTACAAATATATGAGACGAAACTTCTCAGCATTCCATGGATTCACCGTGCGGGTGCCGGGTCCATCGCGTTGCAGGGAGAGGAGCTTCAACAGTGCCTGGGACTTGCGACCCAAGTGTAGGTTTAAGGGGCCCCTTAACTAACGCGCGGTATACGCTCACCTCCACTGTCCAAGCTCCTCTCCCTACCTAACCAAATTTGAAAAGAACCTACTAGGGTTGCCTTCGATGTACGTTCCAATAATGCATTAATGTGAGTTCTGGACAAGCCCAAGTCCTTTAGTAGGTTGTAGAGAGATTTCTCTGTTATACCTCTCGCTCCCACCTCTACCGCGTACAAATCTACTACGAACCTATTTCGAGTGAGTTCGTTTGTGAGCTCGTAATATTTGTTGACCTTGATGGTAAGGTCTTTGGGGATGTTGGTTTCCCAAGGTACCGTAAGCTCTATCATCACTACGCGCTTTAAAATTCGCGAAAACAAAAATATATCCGGTCTGGAGGCCGACGCACAAATATTCTCGGGGATTTTATATGTATTGTTTTTCATACGTGTCCATCATTATAGTCCAATCCGACGCCGTTTATAAATTTATAATATATGTATGCCATAAATTTAATTTACTAATATTACTTTATATAACATACTATTTCCATTTCATTTTACTACTTTTAAAAATTGGCATTCACGAAGCTTTTATAGGAAAACTATTTACATTATTACGGTATAAAGTCTTAGTAAAATAAATAACTTTGTATTCAAGCTTACATCCATAAATTTACTTTTGAATTATTTAGTTCGGTCGTACCATTTGAGAGTTATCATAAGTCTAATAATTCTCAAAATTAAAGCTATTCGATAGCACACTTTTTCACATGATCACGTCATTAATTTTGTTTACATAAATTTCGTAATTCTATTATAGTGGTTTTATTACTTTTAGTACTAAGTGGTTTTATTAAAATAAAAATAATTTAAATATGCAATATCATAACAAATTTTACTATTTATTTTCCTCTTCAATATACTTTTTCATTTTACACACACAATATTTAAGAAAACTTTGTTGATTTTAGTTTTATTATAGATCACAATTGCCTTTATTGATATTACTTAATTTGGATATAATTTCGTGAAGGGATATTGAAAAATGAATATTGTTGGTTTTAAACTGGAAAAACCTTTTTAAAAAAACCTGTGTTTTTTTGTTCATTGATATATCTAACAAGACTTTCGTTTCAATTCGAATTTATCTCAGAGTGTATTGAGTTTTATTCAAAGGAAATATAGGTTACCTTGCAATTGAAAGTTCCTTTTGATCTTTTATCAGTTTGAACAACTTGTCGCCGAGTAAAAAATATACATTAAGTGATGATGAATACATTTTCGTAATTTTTCATTACAGAAGTTTTAACATTATTTCCATTTATTTTAAAATATGACATTTTATTTTTATACATCTTTTTTTAATTGCAGTTACGATGGTCGCGTAAAAGGGCCCTCTGCACACTGGGCCGATGAAACGCTGGTGGGCCGTGCGAAATGGCACCTTCCTCCACACTCTGTGCTCCACATCCGAAATATCGTTCCAACAGATCGGGCTCTTTATCGCTGCAGAGTTGATTTTAAAGTATCTCCAACAAGAAACTATAAGTACATGCTACAAGTGATTGGTAAGAACTTCGATTTATGTAGTTTATAAGATCACATTGAGACACGACTTAAAGAAGTACACAACGAATACGTTCCCAACGAAATTGAGTTTTAACTTAGATAGGGTCCAGGATACAGGTAGAATTATAACTTTGCCACGATAGATGTAAATATAATAAAACCCTACACTATCAATCTCTCTTAATATATTTTTAGTACATTAAAATTATGTAACAAAGTAATATCTCATCGCTAATATTCCCGGTTTCATCGAAATTCAACGAATAAGAAATCGTGAAAGTGAAATTGTAGTGAAAAACGAATCAATTACTCCTTGAAGACTTGACGACGAGCGGGAAGATTTTCGTTTGGACTCACGAATCACTGTTCCATTAGTTTTTTGTAAAAGTTCTTTATTTCATTTATACCAAAGGGACCCATATCACCATGTATCCATATATATGTATAAACAGATAAGATTTATTGTTCATTATCTATTAAAATCAAATATCTTTATTAAAACCTCATCCAATCTAATTATAATTAAAGTGACCTTTGGAGAACTTCAAAGCATTGAGCCTTGTAAAAGCTATTATAGTACATGAATAGAAATTTAGTAAGTACATATTTTTGTATTCTCATTTGAACGTTAACTTCCGGGAGCTAACTTGAATCTTGAAAACTTTAATCAATTTTACAAATTAAAGTTAGTATTTAAGCATAATCTGTTGCTATTTTACTATTGATAACTTAACATTAGTACAATCACTTTAACCTGATTTTCTATAACTCCCGTTAATAAAATATACTAAATGAAATGAATTTATAAACTTTTCTGTTAACCAGCATTTTGATTCGGGTTACTACCATTTATTTTATAAATCCCAGACGTAGACAGCAGTCAAGTGTTTATATGCCATCGACAATAAAAAGGGATAGGCAGTAAAAGGTTCTATTACTTTTGGAGGTGAAAGGAAACTGAAAGGGTTTTGTATTGTCCAAGAGAAATTTAAATATATATAACTCTGTATACAACAAAATTTGTATTATTTGGTATACAGGATACTACGAGTAGTAAAAGTTTTTTTTGGTCTAGTCTAGTCACAATAACTACAGTTATAGATACTTTCTTAGTAAGTATATAAATATCGTCGGATTATACTGACAAATAACATTAATAATTTACGTTTATTTTGTTGAAAGTACTGACAAACACGTTTCCATAGACAAACAGGTAAAGTATTTTTAGCCTCTAACTTCATCTGTCTGCTATTAGATAAACACACCTCGTCATATTTTACAGCGGGTAAACTGTCGCTAAGTTAGCCTATTGAAATTATTTAAGAAACCATCTTTTTCAGATATATATTTTTTTCGTTTATTTTCTACAGCTTGTCAGTTACAAAGCGATTACTTATTTATAAATTATACTGATTTATTTATACGTCCGAACACTGACTGCATATTTATGTGCGTTTTATGTCAAGTATATTACATTTTTTGTCGCATCGGTCTTCCTTTTAAACTTATTAAATTCCTGCATCAATTTCGTTCATTTGGATTAAATTCATTGGATTGTATTGTGTCACAAAAATTAAAGATTGAATTCATGATATACCTAATTTTGTAATTTTGTAAATACATCAACGAAGTTAGTGTAAATATTAACCAAATCGTTCGTAATATATATCATAAAATAGATTCGGTAGCTTAATTTACTGTTCAAATATTATTATATTTGTATTACAATAGTCTTACATTTTAACATTATGATTATCAATTATTAAATACTCTACAAAGGACAACCGGAGCAATTTTAATAAATTTCAATACTATGCGATTATTTAAAATCACTTGAAATATTAAAATTACATTTTATTTAAAGCTGTTTGACTTTTTCCAATAAATATGGTGATTGCACTGTGATTTATGTTCCCGAAATACGAATGTTGAACAGAAAGTAAACAAAGATAATTCCAATAATCGTTACTATAGTATTGTATTTTATGTCGATTTGGTTAATATTTATTAAAATTAATTTACATCAAATATAAATATTTACTCAGCATCTCATTATAATTATATTTAATTTTATTTCATACACGATAATAGAAATTATGAATATTCATATGATTTAACTTAAATTATTTGTTTCTCTACAAACATAGTATATACACTACCATCATGTCGAGTATCAGCTGTGATACCAACGTCACCTGGACCAGATGTACAATGAATTTAAGTTTGGTAATATAGGAACGAAGCCAAACGACAGCGGTTTATATGTAGATCTTGTCAATTACATCAAAAAAACTCAATTTCTTGAGCCAACGTTTCAAACTATCACCTAAGTATTATTATCTCATATAAAAAATCTTGGTAGAGAGATGTTTTGGTAAAACTAACTTATTTTTTTACCTAACACTAACTTTTCTCGGACTTGCTTGTTAATCAAAATTTTGGAAGAGAAAATTTTCGGAGAGAACTTAGCGTAGGTATGTTTAATTTGAGTCTACCTAAACAGTGCATTTTATGCAAATCGATACAATAGGTCTTGGGTGACTTAAATAACTACGATATATGTTATTTTAAGATGTTTAGAAGTCTTTTTATTCATAAGGTTGTTTCTTTCCTATAAAATATTTTGCTTGCGCATTACGACCCCAAAATCTTATCTTAATCCAAGTACATATTAATCCCGCTATTCACTGATCTAAATCGATACTCGTGTGACAGCATACGCAGCAATTTGATTGCTTTGATTAATTTGTTATTAGAATCGTTTAATATATTCCTATCTAATTAAAATAGCTAAATTAATTGATCTAAATTACGTCATGTACTATTTGTCTTGTATCGGTTATGACATAAACAAAACACATTGAATTTATTGTGTACTGAAGATAAATATACACATATATACATTGTATGTCGCTCTTTTCCGTGTTAGCAGTTCTAAAAATCTTTATGGTCACGTGCCGGACGGGTCAACTTTCAATATAGTTTACCCGGAAGCCTTGCACTGAACTATTTTCGTTCTATAGGTACCTTTACCTTACCTTTATAAGGCCTACTACCAGAATTTGAACCTTAATACATTATTATAAAGTTCAAAACCAATAAATATTTTTAAGTTCTGTGTATCATAAGGGGTTAAGCCTTATGTGGACGTGATCTATATTACCAATATAAATAATAATAATAAATATTACCAATACATTACCTTAATACACAAGGAGTTACACGCTGACGGTGTCGCGGGCACAGCTATCTACATATATGTACTTTTCTGCTGGGAGTCACTATTCCACGCGGACGAAGTCGCGGGCAAAAGCTAATATATCAATATAATGTTGTTTTGCAAATGTGCTTCGAAATGTGTCATTATTCGTTTATAACTAAAAAACATAAGCATATATCACATGAAAAGAATATAACTTGTTCTAGCAGCTTTACAGTTTTAATACATAATATCGATGCAAAGTTTTTGTTTATAAAACAGTTTTCATGAATTTTATTTTGTTTTTTTTTATTTACGTTTTAATTTCTTGCAACCATTTGTTATCTTTATTGTGTAAGAAAGTAATATTGTAATATGTTTACAATGTTAAACTATCTCTTTTATGTTATTTGAATAAAATTCCAAGTTTTTTTCCTTTTAATTTTCATTTAAAAATAACAATTCTGATGTTGGACAAAGACTGATGAAGTAAGGGGTTACTTAGATGTGGATTTTTTGACGAAATGATACATCATTATAATTATTTTAACTAGCTTTCCTCCCGCAGCTTCGCCCGCGTGGAGTTCGGTTATATAGCCTTTCCAAGAGAACCTTTCAAAAGTCTGGGATAAAAACTGTCCTATCTTCTTTCTCAAGGTCAACTCTATCTCTGTACCAAATTTCATTAAAATCAGTTCAGTCGTTTAGGCGTCAAAGTGTAACAGACAGACAGACAGACAGACAGACAGAGTTACTTTTGCGTTTATAATATTAGTAGGGATGTTTAAAAGAAGGCTGTTTCGATTGTAATTTAACAACAATGTTATAATTACAATTAATTAACTATTGTAATAATTATTATCATATCGGTTTTTGTATATGAATAGGTAATATAAAAAAGTCGCACAGATATACAACACACAGAGCATGATTCGAGTGTCAAATATTAATGTACATAATTCGTGAAACTAAAAACATGTTTTCAATTATAAGTTTAAGAAAGAAATAAATTAACACTCAATATATAGTAATAAAAATAATGAAATTCTAAAAATTAATAAAAACTGAATTCATTTCAAGCAACTCAAGTATATGTGTGGAAAAAACAAACATGACATATACAAGCCTCAACGAATACATTATAAATTGTTTTTTTTTTATAAAATCATTTAGAGAGTTGGCAGAAGTTCTCATATTATAACTTTGGCGGAAGTTGGCAGAAGTTCTCACTTTTAAAATAAATAATACACATATTTAAAATTCTAATAAAACATTGTGTTTGATGAAAAAATTGTGAGAGTAATTATCATTTTAATAAGCAATATGAGATCAATAGAATATAAAAAGTTTGTGTATGTGTACATTTTATTTGTTAAATAATACAATATGATTTTATGTTATTCAATTTCTAGAATTACGCTTATGAGGCAGGCTGTTTTATTAATAACATATGAAGTTACATTTGAATATCATTACTTCGTAGTCACATTTTGTTGTATCTAATAAATTTTAGTCCAGACATTGAACAGGACAATGGAAGAGGATTAAAAATTTATAAACTCGATTTAACTATAGAATACGAAAGTGAAAAAAATAATTTGATGGAGTTCAATCCAGACTGCTGGGCGGGATCATAAAGAAGTGTAACATCAGTTATTCAATTAAAATGACAATATTAAGGCATGTCCATGAGTTTTCCTTTGCAGTGTCTATTTCATAGTAAATATTTGTTTGTTTTCATCTTAACAATACAGTACAATTAAACTTACAAGGTTAATGAATATGGTCTATATTGTCAAAACTTATTAATCACGTAATTGGGTCATGACAATTTTGATCTAATCAAACCAAGACACCATAATTTAGTCACGATCCAATACCATCTGGTAAGTTTGCAATTAATTCCATTAATTATAAACTATTTCATATTCATTATAAAGATAAATAAGAACACAATTTATGTATCAATTAGTTGTTATACTCTATGAATATACGCAATTTAATGAGAAATTAATTAAAGTATTCGAAGTTTAGCACAATACTAAAATTCCCTTATACGAAGATCTTTGGCTTGCTCGTGTTATTGTTTTTATTCACATTTATAATCAACTCAAAAAGTAAATATCTTTCTACGAAGTACTCTCTTTATCTTTATTAAATTCAAATATCTCTGGTTCAGCCACAAAAGACAACAAGATTCTATTTCCTATAAATAATATAAATTTGAGATTTTATATAACAATGTGAATGGTCACATAAAAAAGATATATAAGATATCATTCTTTTTCACTTAGAATTTTGAATCAAAGTTTATAATTTCATGACATTTTCTTTCATGAAATACAGGGTCATAACTATGCAGATAAAATACGGCAGCATAATCTGGCGTCCAGCCAATTTTTCCTTTATTGTTTGTTGTCTACATGCCAATAACTATTATATTTTTCTTTATTTATCCTTATGTCTAAAAGTTACCTTAAATTCAAAAATTTTATCATAAAAGAAAAAATAATGTTATAGAAATATACTAAAATAAATTGTACATATAATATGACCCGTATTTGCTTATAAATTTTATATCTACTTTATTCAAGAACTTTCTATTTGTTTGTGTGCTTCAGCGACGATGGACTAAATGATTTATAACTCACTACGAATTAGGAAATGAAAAGTTCTTAATATCGAATCGTATTTCTCTGAAATATTAGTTATAAGCAAAGATTTTAAATTTAGTCATTTTGGACATATTTATTATGATAAGATGATTTTGAACATTGCATTGCTGAGAGGAAAAGTATCTAACTAGTATTATAAAAGTGAAAGTGATCTAGGGATGTACGGAAGTACGGAATTACAGATTTACGGATGTACGAATATTTGGACGTGATAATGTCTAAATATTTTTTTGCTATTCAGGCAAAGAATTCCAGAAGAATCATTGCAAAACAGTTGTATTTTCTATAACATCGCGTGACACATATATGCAATATGTTTTGGTGCCAAATAGTTAATATTAATGGTTTAAATATATCGTTTTCACTAAAACAAATCTCAAAGTTTACATAAAAAAATCGCAGGAAAAAAGTAGTATATAAAAAAATCCTTGTTTTTATAAAGTATGTTTTGTTTTTGAGTGATTTTTCATAATTTAGATGAGAAAAAAGTTAAACTTTTCAAATTCATTTCTTTCTAACACTCTTAATTTAGTTCATGTCAATAAATTTTTCATTTTATATTTTCAATAAAAATATAAAATAAGTATTAGCTTATTATTACTTCAACACAAAGAAACATAATTATTATGGTACAAATAATTAATAAAAAAATATACTTATTTTCTTATCACTAAACTACATAATATGTATATTAAAATGAAACCGTTGTCACAAAAACAAGAATAAGTTTGTGTTTTGACCTTTTGACTTTTTGACCTTCTCTTTTTTATTTAAATTTGACAATTTACTTTTAACCTTTTTATCTAGATTAGGTCATTAGGAACCTGCGTTAAGTTCAAATATATTATTTTAACATTTTATTTATTGATATAATATTATATCAAGCTATCTATGATACTACAGCTAAATAGTGTTAAAGCTAGACACATCACGCAATCACCTCCAATATTTTCACCAAGCTTGCAGGTTGTGTTCTTGTGGAAGAAAACCCTATAAATATGTATCGTTCTAGGCGTGTAACTTCGACCTCAAATTTCTATATTCCTAAATTGTCTAAAAATTCCTTGCAATTTTAGTACGTTTTTCATTAAAATAACTTTTATTACATGGTCATTCTTTTTTGTTCCTTGTGTGCTTGAATTCTTAAATACCTGCTTTGTGTGCTTGAAGTATATAAAATTTTAATTGTTTGGGGGCCCCTTGGTTTCCTCTTTAAGAACGTTCGGCCCCTACTTCGCAAGCGAGGAATCAAATACATGATTTTGTGTGTACTGATCAAAGTACATATACGTTTTCTTTTAAATGTAGCTGGATGTAAATTTGAGGCCAACAACATTTTTAAGAATTCCTTCAAAAACAGTTAGTTGCTTCTTTACACTTATGTTTTTCTAACAAAAAGATTGTTCAGGAAGTTGCATAGACATAATGCCATCTATAATTACATGTGATCATACTTGCGGTATCATCCAATAACTTTTCACAAGTTTTGTAAATAAAATAAATGTTTTTATGTACGTTTGAGTGAGTAGTGCGAAATATAAAATTTTCAGTTTATTTAATCTTATTCATTCTGAATTAAGGCCAACAGATACATATTGCGTATATAGAAAGGAAATAAATAAATATTTACTGAACTTAACCGATTACTTTATACAGGTTGATCAATTATATACAGTTGGTATATTGCATCTATCTAAAAAAATAAAAAATAAGAACTATTTATTGCCTATCTGTTCGCCTAGAAACTTCTGTAAGTAAGAATTGCAGATAAGTTAATGAGATGTGATAAAATCAATTTTACAGTCGTGTAACCTCCAATATTTTAGTTTATGCAGTTATATGTATAAAATTGAGCTCATGTAATAACAATGCATTAATTCAGATCTCCACCACCACATTCCCCATTAAAACACATACAGTATGTATTTATGTATTTTTTTACAATGAAAACAACATTGTGTATTTAAACATTTCACAAAATTACCGATTTCAAAGTAAGAAAATGGGTGGAATATTTTTTTGACAGTTTTAAATTCTATAATCGTAAATATAATGACGAAGACTAAAAAACAGACACCTGTAACTCCCCTGTCCTCAGTCTGGTTACTATAAAATACTTAAGGTATTGGTTAAAATTTAGAATAAATGGTGTTATAAATCCTAAAACAACAGTTTTATTTACATGTGAACAAAATCTACAATAGAAAACAAGAAATACCAAAACCAAGTTACAACTGTCGTAATAATAAATCATATGCCTTTAAAGTAATAATAAACAAAATCTTACGAGTATATATGCTTAACAATTTCATGTCGAATAACTTTATTAAATTATGTTAATTTAAATATTCTTCAAAAATTTTACGACTAATACGACTAATAGCGTAAGTCTATAACATATCAATTGTTTTGTGTATTCCTTACTTAATAACAACATGTTGTATTGCATATTAGAGTTGAGTGCTTGAACATTAAAAAAATCTATTTAAAATCCAAACACTCTGAGATTGAAGAGATTTTTTCAAAATAGCTATTACTGCAAAAGTAACATAGCGGGAGATCATAGCAAACAAGACATTCAGTAAAGGGTGTTCAAAGTTTTAAAAAATTGTATAAAGGAACTTTGAATACCTTATCGTACTATATCACACTCATAGTGTGTGAATTTTTTGAACAACTTTCTCTTTAATGAGGACACCAACTTCCGTGTTCAGTGATGTCATGAAGCACTGTTACAAATAAATGGGGAGTTATGAAGTGTATGTTATATGGGAAATATAATAGAGATAAGTAATATTTTATGAACTGGTACATATTATTTAAATTTACTTCTCCGCTGATAATGTCAACAGAATACTTAAATTATATCTAAATAAATCATATATATATATATTTGTGTTTGATATATCTTAAAAGTAACAAAATATTTTAATATTCATTAACTTTATTTTTTAATCTAAAGGAAAGGCAAATCAGAAATAAGTCAAAACATACATTTATAACACAAAGTTTGTAAGCTCCATTCGTGTCAGTACTTCATATCTGTTTGAAAGCGAAAACATTTAAAAACATAATACACAATTTCCCAAGTGAGAACGTTATCTCAAAAATCACAATAACGATGATGAGATTGCTTTGGGTTGAAAATAATTTGTCTCTAGGACTAGAGGGCTTTTATTTTAGCGATATACGGTCCGAGAAAAAAAGTTTAATGTTGGGTAACTTAATTATGAAGTACCCACCTTATGTTATGTGAATTTTATATTTATTAAAAAATATCGACTATTATACACATAACGTATTCTTTGTACTATTTTATATTCTTTAATTTACAGATATTAAATCAAGAATTTGGCCAAGTCGATATTATTCATTGAAAAGTTTTTCGTTTCTTCTTCAAAGGTCTTTGTGAGAACGTAATGTAATATAAATACTTAATAACGTAATGTAATTTAATACTGGTCAGAAAATTTACGCGCGAATAGTGTTGATGGTCAACTTCTATATAAAATACAGTTCTTGGTTATCATAATTTTTTCAAGAAGATTGGGAATATGAGAACAAAATACTTTTATCATTTTTCAAATCCCAGTTCAGCTAAAAAAGAAGCTTATATACAATTATTTCTAATCTTTTATTAACAAAAAATGACAATAATTTAAAACACAAACATACATATATTGTGTTTACAAATGAGTTAAATCTTGAAAAATGTTTTGAATTGATAACATTTAACCATAATATATTTATAACAACCAAATTAGTAAATATTTTATAGTAAAAAATTATTTTTTTTGCAGAACTTCCAGAAAAACCAAAAATATTTGATGAAAAGGATAAAGAGATTATAGGAACGGGCGGACCATACGTAGAAGATTCAAGTCTCAAGCTTACTTGTGTTGTAAGTGGAGGTAAAATAGATTACCGATAAATTATGTGGCGCCATACTTAACAAGTTATCCCGTATTCTTAGTAGAGTTATTTGCTCGATGTTACTTAAAAATGAAATAAATAATTTATTGTTTATTTTATACTTTTATCAAGCATTACATAAAATTTCAAATTAGAATGATATGAAAAGTCTCACTTTCTTGCAATCACAAAGTTTGAGAATTATGCAATAGTATAAATAAGTAACCCGATTTTCTTCTTTTAAACTTTAAGTTATAGTATTATTAACCAACGTAAGTACTTTAATATTTTTAATAAAAATAAATTTAGAATCTTTATTAATATTGTGTGCTATGTCTACATATAGATTTTTTCAGATTAATCTATTTGTGAACTAAACTAATGCAAGTAAAGATGTCTTATTATTGAAAAGATATTATATTTTATGTAACGTAAGGTTAATAGGCAACCGCCTGGAAGAGATCGCTGTTTTAGCGATAAGGCCGCCTATTTGTACATTTTCCTTTCTTTGTTTTTCTCTTATTATTTCTGTCTATATTGGTGTACATTAAAGAGTAAATAAATAAATAAATAACGTGTCTATAGGTAGACCAATGCCACGCATACGATGGTGGAAAAAGGATAAAGTTATCGCTCAACTGGATCCAGTCGAGGATGAGACACGACTCAGTCTCCTAGAACTAAGGATTTCTTATCTAAAGAGGGAACACTTCGAAGCGGTTTACAGTTGTACAGCTGATAATACTCCGATAGTGCCGCCTTTACGAATCAGCGTGCAAATACAAATGTACTGTAAGTCGTATTGTATTCATGTGTACATATTTAAAATATAGGCGTATTGCATAAGTAAAAATTATTTTTTATTTTTTAAGTAAAGTTCAAAAATGAAACTGCAAACAAATATAAATTTACCATTACTGACCTAGATGTAAAAAAATATTATAACAATAATTAGTATTATACCACCATCAACATCCAGATAAAACAAGAAACATTCCAAGATTTTTCTCTGAACAAAAGAATACACCGGTAAAACAGTATTTTGATTGTATTTAAAAAAAATCATAGAAATCTTAACTTGACTCCTCTGAGACGGCCATTGTGGGATGGTGTAACATAATATTCAGTTCCAAAAGTGACAGTGAAGTGTCGTTAACCATACAGTTTACACTATACATCATAAGTATAATAATAATCATAAAAATAGAAATAGGCTATAACTTATTTGTGTATATAGAAAATTATAATTCTTATATATATTAATAACTAATCATGACTTATACATATTTTCATGTAATTTTTTTTGCCAGTAATATTAATTGAACTTACGTGGCATGTAACAAATATTCTTTTATTTTAAATTATCTTAACCTACTACAAATATTAGACGTATATAAATTAATGGAAGAGCAAAACAATGATTCAGAACAAGTGTTCACGTGTACTTTCATAATCCACTTACTTATCTTTGGATAACTAATAATTACAATTTAAATTTTGATATTATAAATCACACATCCTTAACATTACTGTGAATTAAAATGATGTGACAGTTACCCTTAAGTCAGTTTATGTCGTCACATAGTGTATCTCAGGTCATAAGAACGAAATGAGTACGAGTAAATTTGAAGCTTGCATAATTTAACGCCACCTAAACAGATCTTTTTTCACCACCAAAATCAGTCCGTTTAACTTGATAATAAGTTTCAGAATGTGTCCGTGAAATACATACATACATACGTATATATTAGTCGAAGATGTATTGTAGTGGAAGACAAAACGTTTCTCGACTATCGTATAGATTTGTCCTTAAATAATAGTTTTGAGATGCTCAGTGATTCCGAAAAGAAACCAGCTGCAAGGCAGCTGGGTGTTCTTCACGGTGTAAAAGTTATTTACTCCGTCACAGCTTTTTTGTCTCTACAAGATAAGGGTTCGGCCGTGTATGGAATACTACCTAAGCCTCTTCACGGCTTCAGATCTCATAGATAAGCGAGCCAAAAAACTTAGTATCTCATTCATCTTTTGACATCTATATAATAGTTGTGGTTATATTATATCAACAAACAAAGGTTTTATTAAATTTATGTTCTCAAAAAGTTGAGATATTACTATATTGAATTTTTGCGTGAATCTTTGAGTTAGGGAGGTTTTTTTTGTAGTATACGACCTCGTTATTATTTCCAAAATATTAATTAAATAATACTTCATTTATGCTATTACATAATATAGTCTTAAATTGACTTACATATTTATCATACTATATGTTTAAGAGCTTTCATTTTAAGAGTCCAATTTGAGAATTTTTAATAGACTTTGTTGTAATTATGCCCCGATGTGACAAACCGTATTGAAAGATGAAAAGGATCGTTCTTACGATAGTTTTGATATGCTATCAGCTTGTGGATTAGTTTGTGTCCTTTCCAGAGAAACGATTAGCTTCTATTTGTAATCTCTTTTGTTCTGTTTTAACACCATTACCTCGTAATAACAGGAAATTATGCTCCATTATTGTCATTTCAACCGTTATGCCGATTATTTATTAGGTAAATTATATAGAATTGCGATATGTCTTTTTTATTTTAATCTCAATCAGTTGCTACTGAAAAGTTACTCTGTTTTTGTGGTAACAAAAATATATGCGGGGTTTTGGACGCCCAAGCGTATTTTTGATTTACAAGACGATTTATTATCTAAAGAATGTATGTAACATGAACACAAATATTTTGCAATGTTTATATACTCTGATACCATCTAATTTAGGTAAAACCATTTAATTTATTGAATCGGTTAGTGAAAATTTAAATAAAAGAACACACACCTGAATTAATATCTTATGTTATTTTAATACTCGCATTAAAATAAGTAATGAAAAAAAAACATTTTAAGGCGATGCAGTATATAACAAATCCATAAAAACGGCATAATTTCTCGATGTTGATAGAAGACAAGTTTTAGTTTATAAGAGATCTTTATTACTTACTATATAATAAAACGGATATCCAGAGAAAGAATAATACGATTTGAAAATAACATTAGTATTTTCGAATGATAAATGGCCCAAACTTCAAAATATAGTGATATTATTTTGTTTAAATTTCATTACATAAATGTATATACATAATGTAATACATAAAAGACAAATATACAATACATAAACAATGTAATACATAAAAGACAAATATACAATACATAAATTTCTTAAGTATATTTTTTAGGTTATGATAAGAATCTGATTTCACTTTATTAAAATAAATCTTTTATAATAACAGAGAAGCAAGGCTTATACTATACATCACTGAAACTATACCGAGAGTTACAAATTGAGTTGTTGAATTAATAAAACAAATATGTATGAAGCATATTTTATATATCCTATATTCACGTCTGCTAAAAAGTTTGGATAATTCTAAATATTCAGGGTTCGTGCAATGTAGTATTGCTTTTGTGTTGCGTGATATGCCATAAAATATATAAAATAATGAAGGCACAAAAATGTATAAAAGGAATAAATATGAAATAATATTTTTATCTTTATAAATATATTGGATTCTTTAATCCTAAACAGATTTACTGTGATTTATTCTCTTATATCAACAGAAGGAAGTCATGTAAGATTTTTTTTTTTGCAGTGAGGCCATTATCAGTTGAAATCTTGGCAAGAGAGCAACCTTTGTCTGTGGGTCAAGAAACAAATATAGCTTGTAAAGCTGTTGGTGCTAGACCGCCTGCAACCATTACTTGGTGGCTCGGTGACAAAAAGATGGTTGTGAATACTCCACAAATGGTATTTTTTATGTTTTAAATTTAATTAAGCTTTTCATGATGTAAAGGATTAATTAAATGTCCCCCTTAGTTGAGTTACATATATGTATTTTGCTTAGTATTATATTTCTTGTCTAAAAAGCAAAGTTCAGCAAGGACTGACGTATATTAGCATTTGTTATTTTTTCCCCACAACTACTTGCTTTGCTTATGATCAACAAAAATATTCAGCAAATAAATAAATAATTTTATAACAGTTTGAAATTCGGTTTTGTTGTTTTAGAACTCAGAAGACCGTAATGAGACGATATCTTTCCTACGTTGGACTCCGCGCATGGATCACAACGGCCAAATACTCACATGCAGGGCATCCCATTCAAAACTAGAACACGCTACTTTGGAAACTACTATCAAACTTCATTTGCACTGTAATTCTTTTGTTATTTTAATATTCATATCCTATTAAGCACTAGAAATCGTAACAATCATTATCATTACCAATGTCTTAGACATCAAAATTTAAAAGTTAGAAGTGATTTTGTAAATACGCATATAAAAATGTACAGGAATATGACGTAAACGTTTATGAAACGTATATATTTCACATATACACTTGTTCTTGCAAAATATTACATGCATATATTTTAACGAAGTATATAATTTTAAAACTTAAAGGCATGAATTTATTTATTAATGTATTAATTTCGAAAAGCGTTACATACATAGTAAGGATTTATGATAAAAAGATACCATTTCATTTGGCTACACAATTTGAATGAAATCATTTGTAGGGTTCCGTAGGTATGGGACCTTTGCGTGCTTTATGATTGTTATACAAAATAATTTCAAAAGCTTATAGGATATTGGATCTCATTTTTTGTTTGGAAAATGATTTCAAAAATATCATTGGTGTTTATTCCTTTGTGTAATTGATAAGCACGATCTAATATTGAATTTTCTTTAGTCGTCTTGAAGCCACATTTTTCTTAATATATAACAACAAAAGAAATATTTCGAATCTAAAAACGATGACTAGATGTTTTCTGTCAATAAATTGAAATGTTGACGCTTGAAAAGACATGAAGTACGGTTATAAAAAATGCCTTTATATTGTTATTGTTGATTCAATATATATATCAAATGCACACACTATTTAGTATTATTAACCTGTTCCAAATATGAAAATGGCTATATTCAAGACAAATAAGGTTAATTATGCTTGTCGCTTTCAAATATAAAGGAGAAGATGCTCGAGAGTGACAGATCCAACCTGGCGATGTCTTCCTTTTGTGAGAAGGTCATATCCACGAAGAAGGCATCTAAAGGGGGAAAGGGAGTATACGACTAATGCACCCTCCTTCTGCAGACGACGTTCGGGGATGCAACGGAGGCGATTCCAACGCCTCCAATATCACCCCTGTGCTCCGGGCTGGAGTCGGCTTGGTAACCCGGCTCCAGCGAAAGCCCGGCGTCGTCAGGGCGGTCCTAATTGCCTGCCTGCGGAGGCCGAGTCTCACACATCCCTTCCGGCCCCACCAAGGCCGGTAGGACGGCTCGTAAAAAGAGTTTCCCTGCCTCATCAAAGAAAAAAACTTCCGAATATGAAATTAGAAAGCTTGTTTTAGGAGTGTAGATGGAAATATTTTTTTTTTTATTGGTAAAACTTCTTCTTAGCTCAAAAAAGTAATCCTCTAATAATTTACAGATGTTCCCATAGTCGAACTACAATTAGGTTCAAAATTGAACCCTAATGATATTGAGGAGGGCGATGATGTTTACTTCGAATGCATCGTGCGAGCAAACCCGCCGTCTTACAAAGTTGTTTGGGAGCACAATGTAAGTGAAATGGCTTAATACACACATCAACTCTGCTTTTTTTAAAGAGGAGTGACTTAGAAAATGGAATTGCAGATAACTACATATGTATGTAGTTGAAATAAAAAGACTTGGAACTTTCAATAGTTTTATTTTTAAAATGAGATAGTAGATTTTTTAATAAAAACTCACCGAAAAAAATCCAAAAAACTCGATAGCTCATACTTTTATTAAAAGCTATTACTAAGTGAAAAAAATGCAATTGTTATATTAAATACATACATATATGTATGTAGCTCTGAAAAGCTTTATAAATACTTTCAGGGTATGTTAGATTTCAAACATGCAATTTATAATCATATTTTAACAGAATTTATAAACTTAAATATGTATGTACATAACAAACAGATAAGTTCACAATTCAATAATACTATGACAATGAAATATAGTGTATTTACATACGTGATTAATTTAATCTTCCTTAGTAGTAAACTACAAATATTGCTAATATTGTAATAATTGACAGGGTCAGGTAATGACACAATACCAACGTGCTGGAGTAATAGCTGGGTCGGCGCACCTCGCTTTACAGAGTGTGTCGCGGGATCAGGCCGGCCACTATGTCTGCGTTGCAAGCAACGTGGAAGGGGATGGACGATCACTTCCAGTGCCTCTTCAAGTTATTTGTATGTGTTGATTTAGAATAATCAGCTCACCATAAATAATATACACTAATTGTGACCAATATACATATATACTGTGAACAATAAAACTATGAACAAATAAAAATAACAGTTTCAATAAAATACAGAAAAATTAAATACATTGAATTAGAAAAAAATAGCATTAAAATAATTTCAGGAACTGGGACAATATCTTACAGTAAGATTGTTTATCATGATATTTTAAATTGGTATAATTCATGAACCACTTGAAGTAAAACAAACGGTACATAACTTGAAGCGTACCGTAAACTATTGCTATCGTCGATTCAGAGTTTTCATATAAAAAAATAAACTGTTATATTATTCTTACAATAATCATTCTTATTAGTCGCAATACTGAGAAAAAGTCGTGACAGAACAGACATTGAAATAATGGTAAGAATAACCTTTTTTTATGACTGGAATGTCTAGAATGTTAGTTCAATAGTAATGCGGTGTTTCATATGATCATTCAACGGGTCATTTTATACGACTTAAAAACTTTACAAAAACAGATTGGATTAAATTAAAGGTTGCCTGGAAGAGATCGCTGTTTTAGCGATAAGGCCGCCTATTGTACATTTTTCTTTTCTTTATGTTACTCCTATTATTTGTCTATATTGGTGTACAATAAAGAGAATATAAATAAATATAAATAAAATTGGAAAATAAAAACTTTTTATGACCATTTTATTTTGGTAATTTAACTTCATCGTCATAGGATCGAATGGTAAATTGTAATGTTAGCTGTTTATTATAAAGTGAAATCGTGAAAGTTTAAAGCCATAATAAGTTCAAAGAGCAATGATTTTTATAGACCATTGCTACGGATAAAATCTTTTATATAAAGTAGGTGTGTAACTTAGTGTGTGTGTGTCCATTTACGATACCTTAGTATCGTAAATGGACATAGAAACAACGACATACTAATGATATCTAAGACTCTCGCAAGTATTCATTTAAATGTAATTTATTATTGTAAATATTACATACTCCCGACGTTACGGTTACCTTTCAGCAACTATCCATCTATCCATCCAACACCTGGGACACCCTTTTTAAAAATATAAAATCACATGTCCGTGACCACACCGCAGGACCTCGTGATACAGTGAGCGCATTCTGCTAGCATCCAGAAAATTAAAAAATCATTGGCGGTATATGATAAATAATAAGAACAACTGACAGACATTCACATCTTGTCTGCTATTGATTGAAGTTGCTAAAAAGTAACTGAAACGTCGGATGTATGTAGTTTTTATAATAATAAAATAGGCGTAGTATATCTGAAAAATATTTGTTTCATTTAAATCAAACACTATATGTTTGCATATCAATATATATGTATTTATTATCTATTGAGATAAACTATTATTTCAAACAAATAATAATTGCATGTTTATTTATATAAAAATCATATATAAATTTGTACTGACAACGTAATCCAATTGACCACGTTTTGATAAATGCTGCATATATTCAAACAGAAATTTATTAATGATAAAATATATATATGATATCATATCATTTCTCTGTTATTGCAATTCAAAATAATGTTTTTAAACAAATTTAAGTGATATTTGACTAAATAGGTTATAAGTTATTATTATTTATTAAAATCATAATTTACAATCAAAGATTTTTTTTAAATAATTAAAAAATTATGTTAGTATTTGCAAATTTGTCACTTGTTCATTACAAGAATATTATTTTATTCTTATATAGCAAGCTCTTATTATTTAAAGATCTTTATCTTTTTTTCAGTATTTGATTATCATATTATAGTGCATATGTTCAAATAAAATAAATCATCTACCAATGAATTTATTTATATAACCTATATGCATAGGTTAATAAATTTTTGATATTCATTAGCAGTAATCTTGATAAAGAATTTTTTAATACCCGGCCTAATGAGCAAACCTATTAACATTAACAAGGCGTGATTGAAATCTTCCAAGTGAAAATCATTTCTCGCAGAAAAATTATTTCGATAGAAGTTTATCCAGGTAGAAAGGTTTCCAATTTAAATTTTTTTAAGTGTTTTTTTTGATATCGGAGCTTATTTAATATTTCTAAGATAAAAAATTCAGTGATGTGAAGATAAGATTTTATTGATCTTATATTTTGGAATGGGGTATATAAAGTGTAACCGTTGAAATAAAATTCTAAAATTCTCATATACAGATAAACCTATATGCAAGAACACGATGACAACAATAGTAGGCGCAGCTATCAACGAAGCAGCTAGAATCGCCTGTGAAGTAGATGCCTTCCCCCTGCCCAAGAACTTTCAATGGACACTCAGTAACAGTTTGGGAACTACTGAGTTAGACACGGTGAGTACTATGTTATTTCTGTGTTAAATTAAAACGTGTGTATAATAAATTTGACGTTTATAAATATATATATATATATGTACCATTATATATATATATATATATATGTACCATTATATATATATATATATATATATATATATATATATATATATGTACCATTATATATATATACATATATATGTACCATTATATTCTATTTAATTCATATGAAATTTCGTTTTCCTTTTGATATTAGAGCTTGAAATGTTTTTGTTATTGGAAATTAACACGACTAAAGACTAACTTATCTTGTGTATTACAATTTTGTATGATTGAACCCTATAATATTAGGAAAATAAATCAAAATAATGTTAAACCATTTTTGTAATTGCAATATGGCTTTGAATTCGTTTTCGATACTATTTCTGTATACGGTAATACAATTTTAATATTAAGATATCTGAAGTTCTGAAAATAATTACTATTTAACTCTTAATAAATAAGCGACAAGTTAGACTTTCAGGAGTATTCATTTAAATAAAAGGTATGTGTTCGCATGTACTACACGTTAATAAGGAGTGAATAATTTAGCGTAACGCTAAATTAGTTTTTCCATAATACATTGCTTCTAATTTAAAAAGTATACCTTAAAAGACTATTCCTAATTATAGTTATTTAATTAACCATTTTAAGAATAATATTTAGTTATTTTTGAAAGACTAGCTGCGATAAATATTATACCAATCATTTATATTCACGAAGCTATAACAACTAATATTTAATAAAAACTTCATCAGGGAAAGTTCACGATAGAAAAGTCTGGTCGTTCAATTCTCACGTACATACCAACGTCTGACATGAATTATGGGTCGTTGGCCTGTCGAGCTATAAACTTGGCTGGACAACAAACAGAGCCTTGCAGTTACACCCTGCTACCGGCTGTCAAGCCGGACCCGCCTGCTAACTGTTCGACCTTGAACGTGACTGATGACTCAGCCGAAGTAAAATGTGTTGCTGGTAAGCCTGAGGTTCTTCTTGATAATATTCTTTGTTGTTTTATTGGTTAATAATATCTACATATATCTATATATATAAAAATGAATTGCTGTTCGTTAGTCTCGCTAAAACTCGAGAACGGCTGAACGGATTTATCATATCTTAGTTTTGAAATGTTCGTGAAAGTTCAGGAAAAGTTTAAAAGCTGAAAAAAATTGAATCATTTCCGGGAAAACCCTGAAAACAGCCCTTTTCTATTTCCCATACAAATATTTTTTTTGACATTAGATTTGACAACTAACTAATATGTCAATTATTCTGTTCGATTGAAACAGGAAAAAACTGATGATTTATGGCCTCTAAGACGGAATAGAGTTCGCCCGATCAGCTATACATATATTACTAATGATGAAACTAACGCGGACGAAGTCGCGGGCAAAAACTAGTACTTAATAAATTTTGTACAAAGTTTCTTGATTTGTGTATTTTTATTTACTAGTATTATAATTGAGGAAAACAAAAATAAACAAATGTTTATGTTTAAAGTTGAAACTTTGTGTTTTAGTCATAGAAAACTTTGTGATAAACTTAAAAATACAAAAATTTATAGTTGATTACTATTTTGTATCCTAGGCTATGATGGAGGTCTCCAAACTACGTATTTCGTGGAAGCATGGGAAGGGGAAGAATTAATAGCAAATGTGTCAACAATACTTCCCGTTTGGCAGTTACAAGGGCTTCGATCTGGGAAGGCATTGCATCTCGTGTTTTACGCTTTCAATGCAGGGGGGAGATCTGAATTAACTACGCTTAGAATACATACGTCGTCAAGATTACATACGGGTAACTTTTTGAAGACATAAAATTATTTTGTATCACTTAATATTAACTATGTAATTTGTAACATTTTGAACTATTGTCCTAGTTATATTATAAATATTCAATTTCATTACAAAGAAGCGAAGAACGATTATATGATAATTGACAAGAACTGGATCCTGGGTATTGTAGCGAGTGCATTGGGTACGCTTGCTGCTGTAGCTGTCATTATCGTCTTGGCTCGAAGGCGACAGAGGCCTTTGGAGTATGATGGTAAGTGAGTAAATTTTCAAATTTTTATAATAGTGTTTTTTTTTTGCATTTACATAAAATACGCTTAACACTCTTCAAAATGTAGATTTAGTTTGTTAAATATAGGAGCATTAACCGGACCCTCACATTGACAATTTTATTATTATTATTCCAAAACCTCCCTTTTCCATTGATGTTCAAATACAAATTAAATTTTCATTTCACCAAAACGCAATGTTTGAGCTTTGTAAAAACGTTTCCCAGATCCATTTCCAACCGGCATTATCTCACAGTGAAGCTTTAAAGGTTTCATTTTGTCTACGTTGACATTATCGCATCGCGAGCATAATATCTATAGGATAACTTGTAAATTGTTAAAGTTTTAATTTTTATGACGCCGTTATCACCCACAGTGACAAAACATTTCAAACTTGATTTATAGTGCATTATGATTCGATATTTTAATATAGTTAATGTTTTGTTATATAATATTTAGATAAAACATTGAATGGTCTTGTGAGAGGAAAATAATGTCGTAAAATACATTTTTCAAGAAAATCTTTTTTGAAATGCGTATTAGCCATGCACAGCATAGTAAAAAAAACAAATTGGCAGACTTTTTAGAATAACAGTAATAACAGTTTTAAGATCTTGTATATTTGAACAGCTTTTTTTGGCTGCTACTGCTAAAATATGATTTCTTTTATATATAAGTCTATTTTCATTTCCCTATTAAACCATGGCTGCTTATAAAAAGTATTTCTTTTAATATTTTCCTTTGTTTCACAATCATTACTATAATTATAAAAAAAAACAAAGAAAAATCCATTTACAAATACAATAACCATAACGCTTAAGAAAACTGTAAACCACAAAGTAAATTGAAATTGTTTCCTTAGTAAAGTGAGGGATGAAGAAGATTTCTAAGTTAGAAACTTCTTTTATTGCACATCATATCTGCTTTATGTCCCACTACATTTCAACATCTACTGCGAATATTTCGTCATACTGCTGTTGACATTTTATTACGTTTTCTATTCACTAAAAGAGGAAAATCGTGTTATGATTTCCAATATTCAAAATGCAATATTACATTTCATAATCTGTTTTAAATTTAATAAAATTCTCACAACTTATTTACAACATTTAACAAACATCTCCATCTTTTTATAAAATACTATTCCAGCCTTTCTTTCCATTATTGTATATTAAATTAAGATTATTTGTATAGTTTATTGTAAAATATAAAAATAAAATCTGTACCAGGATAGCACCAGCCGTCGACAAAATCTTGTTCCTTAATGTATTTTAGCATGTCTGAGTAGAATCTTATTATATAGACACGGAATATCGAGGGCATTGTTTCGTTTTAGAACAATTTAGGTTAATAAATTTATGAAAATGAAATAAAAACCCTTACTGAATCTCAGTAGGATCAGATGACAGAGAGTGACAACAATATTTTATATGAAAAGCTGTTACGGATATCAGGAGTTAAACGATATTGCCTTCATAGAAAAGTTTTTCGAATTTGAAATGAATAAATTTGACCTGACTTTCAAGCTAGTATCTAAATAAAATGTCATGAAGGTATAGGGCCTACTTGTAAGAACATTTGGGGAGTTTTTATTTTTTGCTTTGTTTTCAATGTCGGTAGTATTTTAGTTTTCGTGTCAATATTGTTTTATTAATAACAATTTTTACAAGAGTCTTATTTGAAGATTTTTTTAGTTCCATTACAAGCTATGAAAGAGTGTAAGGGTGCAATGCGTAGCTCTAACCATTCACCTATACAAGACGACAAGAACCCAGACGTAGTACCTTTTGGAAAAGGTGAGAGTGTTTGTGTATTTTATAATAGCCTACTATGCACATTGTTTGTTCAAATTTCAATAAACTACCTTAAAAGAATTTAACATAAAAACACCATTAAAATAATATTGCAATGTAATTTAATTTAAACTATTTTTCCAAATAATATTTTTTATGCTTATTTTAAGAGTTTAAAATTTTTTCTATGATATTTATTTTTACTCTACCTAATTCATTTACTTGTTGTAACAAAATATATCTAAATAAGTTAAATGTACTTAAATTTTTCATTCACCTATACAATGATGCAAAAAATAATTGTCCTTGTCTTGTATTCATAATAAGAACAATACTTGGTCATGATCCTTTTCATTCTAAATTGAATAAAAGTTAAAGTTATTTGTAAAGATCAAGTATATTGAAGCTTGTTTTTGTTTGCTCAGACTTCATTTGTACTAAGGATTCAGAGCTCCCTCCGGAACCTCCACCTTACGGGGTAGCCCTATCGAATATTCAACCGGTGGGTGTGTCTAAAAGCGCGCACAGTCTTCACGATCGAGCAAAAACACCGCATACTCATCACACGCCTGGATCCGAGGAACAGGTTAGTTAAGTACAGTATATATTGTTATTTATTTATTTAACTCTTTTTTGTACACCACAATTACAATACAAACAATTACAGAAAAATACATACTAAAAACTAGTGGTAAAACAAAAGGCGGCCTTATGGCTTATTAGCCATTTCTTCCAGACCACCTTTTTTTTTTTTTTTTTGTTATCGCGGTGAAAGGTTTTATACCTACCCCTCCGTCTAGGGGAGACAGAGGCGGTTATGTGGGATTCACGGCCAGAAGGGCCCATGTTACCCACTAAAACACCAGCGGTCACTCTCCGTTGCCGCCAAGTGGATCGCCACGGGAAACGCCGAAGCATGCATCCGCGACGACCCGGCGGCGGGCCGCGAACGGCCACCTCCCCCCCCGAGGGCTCACTCCAAGTGACCAGGAGTGTCCCCCCGCCTGGCGGGCTTGCTTAATCGCGAGAGGGTTAACCCCTTACCCCTCCCACCCAAGCCCACGCGGCCAGTCTCCAACCACCCACCGACGAGCGCAAGCGCCCGACGGCAAACAGAGAGGAAACCGACCGACCACAAGCGAACTCAGGCCTCCGGAGAGACCCGAGTATCCCCTCCCCCCAAGACAGCCACGGACGGCCTCCTGCCAGATCCGTGACCGTCTTACTCCCAGGGCTGTACCCCCAGCCCTCCCCCCCGTGACTGATTGCACCGGAATACACCAGTGGGCGATGGGGTCGTCACGTCCCGACGCCGGATTCTTCCAGACCACCTAGATTAAACTAATATATTTCTTTCAATACGGTATTTGACTTAAATATAATAATTTGAATACAATGATACTAAAATACATATTTATTTTAATTTTAATTCCACCTAGACAAATTAAAATTTTAAGAGAAAAAATACATTTAAATTAGTTTCTGCTTATGTGCCCGGGCAGAAGCCAAAAAATTAATAAAAAGTGAAAAAATAATAATAGTAAAATGAAACCCAGTAGAAAAGGACGGGAAAATTATAAAAAATAAATAAAAAAATTAGTTACGGGCGATCTGAGGTAGGGAAGGGCATAAGGGTCCGTATTTGAGGATAAAAATCGTTTTTTATTGATTTCCGGCAAAACCAAAAGTTTTTCGGAAAACAATTAAATAGTAGTAGTAGTAGTAGAAAGATCTAAAACTTTTGTATGGAACAGTTTTCAAACAACTTTAAATATTTATGTAAAAAATTCAAAAAACCAAGTTTTTGGTTTTTATCTCTACTTTTTTCACAAAATAATATTTTGTTAGGAAATTTGGTGCAAACTTATCTTTTTATGTTATATATATATACTTTAATTTATTTGATTAGAAGTATTTATATTTTCAGTTTATTTTGAATTAATATCGAAAAGTCAGCCTCATTTTCAATGGGAAAAAACCCCTCAAAATATCAGCTTTTTTCAAAATTTTGGTATTTTTGTGTTCTTTATAATCTTTATTTTTCGATAGTGAAGAAAGAAATCTGAGTTTCTTGCTTGCAATAGCAATTTTAGATGAAAAAATTATGTCCCTTTTAATGAATTAACACTCGGTATCGTTTTGAAAATGCTCTTGCAATTTAATTTCAATAGTTGTGTAGTCTGGAGGATCTCCTGAAAATCCCTTTTTAATTTTATTTACAGAAAATTGACATTAAACTACTAAAATTTAATTTCGGGACAAAATGTTATTTTTTGGAAGAGATAAAATAAAAAACAAAAACTTATTTTTACTAACCTTATCTAAATTTTGAAGTTATGTGAAAAAAGTGTGAATACAAAAGTTTTAGATCTTTCTATTACCTACATTTTTGCCATATATTTTTCCCGTTAAACTATTAGTTTTGCCGGAAATCGACAAAAACCGTTTTTACCCTTAAATACCCACCCCCATATCCTTCCCGAATTCAGATCGCTCGTAAATTATTTTTCCTTTAATTTTTTATAATATTTTCCCCTCCTTTTGTAATAGATTTCAACCTAGTATTATTTTATTTTGTTTTAAAAATTATCGATACTGGTCTATTATAGAGAAAATAGTATTTTATTTTCTTCACCTTATAGAGCATCAGCACACTCACTGAAGATCGGAGGAGTATGACGAGTGGACCACTATCACAACGAAGGGAGGTCGTCACGACAAGGACCACATTTTTAACCAACGCCAGAGAGAGTTGCGTTTAAGATAGTATAAACTGTTTTTCATATTGAAAGAAGCATAATTTCTTTATGTAAATGTTATTTTTGTACACTCCAGTGTTTGTAAAACTTTTGTTAATTATATAAAAGCTTATATTTACGTAGTATAGTTCTGACGACTAAATTATATGGTTGGAGCTTTTATTGATTTCAGAAACGATAAAAACTGATGTTTGAAATGTCACTACACTTATTAATGTATAAAGTATTTTTTTTTTTACTAAAAAATAATATGGTTTTAAAATTCATAACAGATATTAATATATTCAGTAATTCAGACTTTCAGAAAAGAGGAGAACGCTCATTTAATATAAATTTATAACATTTTTAATGATCTGAGTTCCTGAGACTATCGTGCGCTCTTTGTGACGTTATCTAGGTAAAAATCACCTTAGGAAGTTAATGAACTGAAACCCTTTATATTATATTGTCAGATGGTATTATGTTTTTCTTTTTTTAATCATAGACTTTTCTTACAATATCATTAATAAGTACAAAAACAAAAAGGAAACAAATTTTTACTTAATAAAACATAGACCGAAGTTATAGTAAGTTCAATGAGAAAAGTTTTGTTATTTACGATTTTTCATGATATAGAATTATCGATTCAAAAAATCTGATTGTGTAAATAAAGTTAAGGGAAAAGTCAGCATGTAAAAGTTATAAAAAGTTGCATTTTGCAAGTTTTAATCAAAATTTTACTTTAGCTTTTTGAATATTTTTTAGACAGATAGTTGGAATTTGTAAAACAGTTGCTCAAAGCGTTTGTAATTCTTTGAGCAAGAAATAAAAGGCTTCTACAAAGGTTGGACGGCATGCGCCAATTTGGATTCAAATGATAAAAACTGAAATTGAATCTATCCATATACAATCTAAACTAAGGTTAATGTGTATGTTATAAAGCTTAAAACTGATTCCATAGCGATATCCTTTATGAAAGGTATCGTACAGTATTCACTTTTTTACAATCAATAACATACCTATTATATTAAGTTTATGCAGTTGTATTAGAAGTTGTCTCTGATTTAAATTTTAATAACATATTCGATATTGAAAAAAAGGCATTTCATTATCATTCAAGAAATAAAAGCCATCCAACGTATAAAAATATTTTCAATATACCCTTAAATTCATGCAGTGGAAAAAAGGGGCTCAAATATATATTTTAGAATGTCAAGACCATTTGAATAGTTGTTGCGGGCGCCGGACTTGAAGCGTAGGACGGAAATAAAACATATCGTCACAGTGACACGACAGTTTTAAACTCACTTGTTTCTCTATGTATGCTTCCTTTGTTTGTACTTGCTCAAATAATGTAGATATATCATTAATTCTTGAATTAATAACTTCACGATAATTATTTCATCAGCATAACATAACAATATATTATAAGTTGATTGTAAAAGTAACATGTATGACATGTTTTTATTGTAGATATTCGTTTCAATTTGACCTAGCTACCTAGGTAGGTCATATCATATGTAGATCTGATTGGTGAAAAACCTTTTTTAATTATAAGTTTATATTCTTACAATCGATGGTTTCTTTACAGTTTTACATAGAATTTAATACCTAGAGTAAGGTACCTAGGTAGGTTTTTCATCAATCAGATCTATGATGAGTGCAAAAGCTGAATCAAAAGGCAAGATTTTTATATTTGGTGATATTGAAAATCTTATATATTATGTATGTAATAAAGAAGATAGTTACTAAGAAATTCACTTTAAGACTGTTGTTAAGGAATAGTTTTTCCTTCAATATAGAGATTGTAAATAGTAGATGTAGATGTACTTAATTTTGGAAAAATACGAGTAGTAAATGATATATAAATATTCTCGATTCTAAAAAATAATTTGTTGGGTTATTAAGGATGTGCTCATTTGTATTAAAATATTATAAGGAAAACATGACTAATCAAAACAAAAAAAAAATAAAACATTCATAATTTTTATTTTATAATACCTAAGTTGTGATTTGGAAAAGAAACAGACAATAAAGCTATATCAAAACATATGATTTCTGTTATATTTCTTTACGTATAAAACATACTTTCTTTTGTTTCATAAAGTAAAATAAATTATTTGGAAATAAAAAAAACCTTGATACTTATTAATTAAGTAATTTAATTTATTGCACTAAATTATTATTTTATAATATCTATTAATGTATTAAATATGAATTCACTGTGATGCTTTAAAATTATTATAAACCTATATTGTCTAAGGTAAATAATAAAATAATTGGTTCCATTCTAATATCTCATATGACTTGAGAAATATTACAGTTTTAAAAAATATATGTAAAATATAAGTTAATAATACAATCTATATGTGAATAATTCTATGGCAAAAATATAAATAAATGTTACTGCTATTATTATCTTGTATTTATTATGCGATTAGCAATTAATTTTTGTATATTTTTTATGTATATAGGTACTGTAATATCTGTTACACCGACAGTTTTACTTGTATTTAATATTACGTTCGGTGATTTTCTAAAGACTTCTTGACATATCGTAAGATTAAGCAGATATGTATAACGATTCTGAAATAATAAATTTGCTTATTAGAAATACTCCTCTTTTATTTTTTATTTATCTTCTGATTTCATGAACTTCTTTTACGTTCGAGAGCACCCAAAAACTACAGCCATCCTAAATGATCGATCGATCGAGCCAAACAAACGTCTGGCATCAGGAAAAATTGCATTAGCCGTCGCGTCATCCGGCATTGCCACTATGTTTTTATAAAGAGGCTGAACTGCACACTCTACATTCAAGCTCCCGTTGAAAATCAAATAATAATAACAGTATCTGTAGTGTTTCTAAACAGAGCAATACAGGAAAATTGATCTATGACTGCTCATTAATAGTTAGACGTCTGTGGAAGTACTGGATAGGACAATGCGTGATTTTGCGCAGTAAAAATGCACCTATAGGTGGATGTAGAATTCTGTTCTCAGGAGACTTTCATCAAATTCTTCTGGTTGCCAATAAAAGAACACGTCCTAACGAAATAAATGTTCCCTTGAAAAGATCCCACCTTTGGCCACACATTCATAAGTTAGAGCTTATAACTAACACGAGGCTTTCATTATCTTCAATTGAGAATAGGCTTTTTTCAGAGATGCTGCAAAAGTTGGCAATGGAAAGTTAACATAAAGTGATGGAAGGATTAACCTAGAAAACCTTTGTGTTTTGATAGACAACATCCAAGATTTGGTCAACAATGTCTATCCTGACATGAATTACATAATTTGTAAGACTACGAGTATATCTTGGTTTAAAGAAAGAGCCATTCTGTCACCAACTAACGAACAAGTAGATAAGGTAAATAAGTTGATTCTTGCAAAGATTGATACGCCGACACAAATATACTACTCGGTCGATACTATTCTCAACTCGGAAGAAACTGTTCATTTTCCTACAGAATTTCTTAATATTTTGAATCCGTCTGGACTCTCTCCTCATAAAATGATATTAAAAATAGGTGGTCTTGTTATTTTATTAGGAAAACCTGAATCCTTCTTATCTTTGTTCTGATACCATCAGATTTACCGTTCCAATTTAAACGCCTACAATTTCCGGTAAAGATATCTTTTGAAATGACTGTTAAAACATCGGATCGTCAAACTGTCAACGTTGCAGGATTAGATAAGAACCTCTAAGTAAAATATGTTTGTATTCTAATGACAAAAAGCTGTGAACGTGGTGTATAAGGTCATTTTGTGGAAGGTATATTTACATTAGTGTTGCACTATTGTTAAGCCAAGGCGGGTCGCTAGTATTGAAAATAAAAACTTAAAATCTTCTTGATTTAAAACATTATTTGTAGCTCTAATTTCATGATGTAAACTCCAAAAAATATTTCAACTGACATACATACTTTTCAATATAGTATTGAATCGAAAAATTTTAAACTATGTATGTAGTGACTATATAGTATTACAGTGCTAAAGCAAGGTAGACGTATCTAGTAGATTTAAAATCGCAATACCGATAAGAATTTTATCTTTACCTTGTCGAGACTCTTAAAAGGTGGGATGTTAATAGTCATCATAGACTGTGATGAGTTTCTTGTTTATGGCTTTGTTTATAGGGTCTCTGAATAGAATTATATCGAGAACAAAGGAAAAAAAGATGCCTCCAGCAATTTTGTTCGAAAATCTGTGACGATAACCCCGAAATCTCATATTTATAGTATCAGGAAAATATCCGTTGACAAACAAAGCAATTTTTCTAGGTTGCCTGACTCCTAGATTATAAAAAACATATTGGCAGTTTCTTAAGTATTGAAATTTAATATATTTATATATAAAAAGAACTATAGTTCAATATAGAATTAAATAACACTATATTTATAAGTTAATTGCTTTGGATAGACATTTTATTTTTATTTTGTGAGACAAACACAGCAATGTCACTTTTGAGTTAAAAATATAAAATATGTATTGTACGTATATATACATATTTATAGTGTCATTTATCTATCTTATTATTATTTCATAGTAAATTCAAGAATATTTCAAGCTGAAATCTTGCAATAAGCAATTACGTCCAGCAATATCTCGCTTCAACCAGTTTCACTCGAATCAGCAGTTGGTTTGAGTGGTCAGTTGTGTGCCTCAACCTATCGGTCTGTGTGCATATGTAATTCCCATCAATTTAATCCAGCAATAACATATTAAACCAATATATTTCAACAAGGGTTGTTTTAGTGTGTGGCTAAAGGTGATATCCAAATCTTACGAATTTATAATCTTTATAAATTTTTGTATATAGAAAAGTATTATTTAACATTTGTCTGTCTTTGTTTCTCACCTTAGATACCTTTGTCATGAAAAACTAATATTGTTGTTAATATGTCATACACACATATAATTTTAACAGTACAAGTTTTTCATTTTTTTAATCTAATTTAAGGTATAGTTTTATTATTACACATTTCTGGTAATTGATAGATCTTGTCAATTTGAAGAAACCC